AATCAACAACAACAACAACAGGTGTATTGAGAATAGGGACAGAAAAGGAGAAGTCATAGTTTTGGACGTGACAAACACTTGGTGGGAGAGAAGCTTTGCAGACCAACAACACTGACAGGAGGCATCCCTGGGCCAGTTTATAAGGCAGGACGACCATGTACAGTAGGGCATATTGTTCACTGTGCAACAGCATCTGTGTAAGAGGACAAATGACGCTAAAAACCAGCCCACACTTTTGTTTCCCAAGCTGTGTGCCAGGGCTCAGGCCGAGATCCACCTAGGCTTGGGGAACATGTTTTGCTAATTCATGTAAAAATGACTTTGTGGGAGACACAGAAAGCTCTGAGGATCCGGAATTGTGAAGAGGTTCAGATCTGTTCAAACACAGGCTCCGTGAAGACATGTGGAGACCTGGGAGAGGTGAGTGCCAAAAAAGAAACTGGGATGGGGCCAGGTGGCGGGTGGTTATGGATGAAATTAGTAAGGTAGCAGAGTAGGAATCATGTCTTTGGGGTTCTTGTATATCCTGCTAACTCCCTGTGAGTCATTTTCATCTATTTTTTTGGTATTTTTATTGTTGTAAAAGACACATGACAAAAGCTCACCATTTTATTCCATTATAAAGTATATGATTCAGTATATGTTTATCATGCTAGGTAATCATCACTCCTATCTAGTTCTAGAACTTTACTGTCACCCCAAATAAACACCCTGTACCCATAAAATCAATGTCAAGAAAACAAAAATTCCCACCACTGGACCTATAGGCCACATCATGTTAGATGGAGAAAAGGTTGAAACTGTTACCAACTTCATCTCACCTAGACCCACAATTAACACACTTGGTACCTACACTTAGGAGCTCAGGAGATGTATTGCACTGGGAAAGTCTGCAGTCAAGAATCTCCCAAATTACTGAGGAGCAATGATGCTAGTTTGAGGACTAAGGTGCGCCTGACTTAGGCCATGGTCTTTCAATCAATTGTGATGCTGCTGAGATCTGGACAGTGAATAATGATGACAGAACAAGAACGGATGCCTTTGAGTATGGTGCTGGAGAAGAGTACCAAACATGAACTGCCAAAAGAACACACATGTTCTATGTTTGTTGTGTCTTAGAGAAGATGCAGTCATAGTGCTCTTCAAAGGCAAAGATGATGAAGCTTTATCTCACAAGCTCTGGGCATGTTGCTAGGAGAGGCTATTCATTGGAGAGAGACGTCTTGCTTGGAAAGGTGGAGGGACGGTGAAGAAGTGGAAGACCCTCAACCAGGTGGGCTGACACAGTAACTGTAGCAATGGGTTCAAGTGTATCAGAGATAATGAGGATGTCAGGGTTCAGATTTGTTGTTCATAGGGTCACTAGGAGTCATATTCAACTCAACGGCACCTAACAACAACAACAACAACCACAACTACCCACGAAATGACTCTTTGCTACCATCTCCTATCACCTGGACCTCATTTTTGCCGTGAAAGTGAAATCATGTAATAATTTTAAAGAAGACCTTGACTCAGGAGGCTGGTCGAATTGTGCCTGAAATGAGCTTTATTTACTTATTTGAGACCTAGTTCTGCCAGCTACAAGCTGTCCAATGGCTTTAACTTTCTGAATTCCGTTTCCTCAGCTGTAAAATGGGGCTAAACCAAAACCAAAACCATGGCTGGTGATATGATTCCAACTTGTAATGGTACCAAGAGCGAGCTCGTGGTAAGAAGCTGTGCTGTGAATCCCAAAGGCACGTGGTTGGAATCCACCAGCTGCTCCGCAGGTGAAGGATGTGCAATCTCCTCCCCTGCGATTAACTGCCTCTGAAAACCTGCTGGAGGGTCAGCTATGGGTCTGTTCCGACTCTGTGGAACACCTCAACGATACCGAATGTTATGGAGTAGAACTGCTCCATAGAATTTTCTTGACCTGGATTCACAATCAACACCCATGGTAGCAGCACCCAGGAAATCAAAAGACATGTTACCTTGGGGCGATTTTGACAACTTTGACATAGCTGTCAAAGACCATTTTAAAGTGCTGAAGAGCAAAGATGTCAGTGTAAAGACTAAGGTGCACCTGACCTAGAGCTCATGATATTGTTTAGTTGCTTAGTCTGCATGTCGAAGTTAGACAATGAATAAGGAAGAGTGAAGATGAGGTGATGCGGTTGAATGGTGGTGTTGTCGAAGACTATTGAATAGACCAGGGACCAATCTATCTTGGAGGAAGTGCAACCTGAGTGCTCCTTAGAGAAAGAGTGGTGAAACTTTCACAAACTTCAGGCATGTTGTCAGGATGGATCAGTTCCTTGGGAAAGGATATCCTGCAGGGAAAAGCAGAGGGTCAGGGGAAAAGAGGAAGGCCCTCAATGAGACAGACTGACACTGTGATTGCATGAGCGGGTGGGTTTGAACAAGGTGAAACGGTGAGGACAGGGCAGGACAAGCCAAGTTCAGACTGGCTGTTCAGAGGGTCACTATGAGTCCCAGCGAGCAGGGTCACACCTAACAACAATCTTTACCCAAGGAAGTCACCAGGTCCTCTTCCCTCAGTGCCCTTGGTATTGTGGTTGAGCGTCATATAGTCAGCACAGACTCACAGCTGTTTCTCCAGCAGGTTTTCAGAGGCAGTAAATTGAACGGGTGTCTCCAAATTGCATGGGCAATCAGCAAGCAAATGTAAACTGCTTTCCCATCAGTGAATGTTGCTACGACTTTCAGATGCCATTAGGTATTACTGTCATGACAGGAGTCCAGAATGAAGGCTGCACAGTGGAGTGGACTTGGGGGGAGGGATTGTACAACAGTGAAAGACTTCTTTTACTTTTCAAAGAGAAGAACGGATGTGGGGAGCAGTGGGCAGGGGAGAAACTGCAACAATTAATGAATGGAAATCTAAAGTCTCTGTAAACTTTCATTATAATTAAGAAAAAAAATTTTTAAAAAACCAACAAAAACTTTCAGATGCCCTCTCTCCTATTTAAAGTGCTCAGTGACTGGCTGTCACGGCACTTGACCTTGTAATTTGAACTTGTAACTGCAGCCCCACAGCAGGCAGTGAAGGGGCTAGGACATTCAGACAAATGCGCTTGAGTTACATCCCGGGATAAAGGCCCTCGGACGGATAGCTGTCCTTGTCGATTTTCTATGGAGAAACACTCGCTCAGCTCCAGCCCTTCTGTGCTGCCATTTAAATTGACTTCAGCGGCTGTGGGAAGGGCTCATTTACTTCCACGGAGCTCAGCAGCAGTGCCGTAATCTATACAGACTGCAACAGTTTGCAACTGGCACCAACAAACGCTTCTGTTGTGTAACACTGATTACCAGCCAGCATGCGTCCCGAGCAGCGGGACTGCTGGGGTGGCAGCGCTGTGGAGGAGAGGCGGCCGCGGGGGTGGATGATGTAAGAGCAAGCCAGGGTCATGCAGGGACCAAGCTGGGCTTTCTGGTCCCAGGTGGGAAGCAATCAGGCTTTGGAGTGAGACCTGGGTTCGAATTCTGCCTCCGACCTGTGTCAGCGGTGAGAAGTCCCACAACCATCTTTTGCGGAACTGAGATCGCTCGTGTACCGTGCAGGACGAGATAGGGACATGCTCATAAACTGTTCCTTTTATGCTCACTCGCTTGTATCAAATGATTGATGCAACAGGCTGTCTTTAGAGATTGTGATGGGAGAAGGGGGTGACAGGATTGAATTAGGGAAGGCAAGAGGTCAGGATACTCGCCTTCAACCCGTCAGGGCTGAGCTGTGTGGTGTTCAGTGCAAACGGCTTCTTCACTCGAGTTGGTGAACCTGGATGGTCCTGTCTCGAACACTAGCCACCACCCTAACCTGGCACGGCAGTCCCCTCCTCTCTCTGTCAACCAGGAATCAAGACCAGAGAAGGTTCTAAAGACCCTTTCAGCTCCAACACAGTTGGCTTTGAAATGATCAGATGATTGACAGTTGTTCTTGAAAGCTGATGGTTCCTCTTTTTTATATAAGGGCAAAGTGACAGGTTTGAGGGACATGGGTTTGCTGGACTCCAGGCCAGCCCCTTCAGAGGCATGTCTCTTCGATTACAAGGGAAGAGATGGAGATGGGGAATGGTGGAGAGGAGAGAGGGATATGAGATAGAGAGAGGAGACAGGAGGAGGAAAGAGATGAGACAGAGAGAGAGAAGAGAGAGGGATATGACATAGAGAGAGGAGACAGGAGGAGGAAAGAGATGAGACAGAGAGTGGAGAGAGGAAAGAAGAGAGAGAGATGAGACAGAGAGAGGAGAGAGAGATGAGACAGAGAGAGGAGAGAGAAAGAAGAGACAGAGAGGAGGGAGGAGGAAGGAGGAAAGGAGGGAAGAGAGAGGAGGGAGGAGGAAGGAGAAAGGAGAGAGAAGAGAGATAAAGAGATAGATGAGAGATATGAAAAAAGAGAGAGGTGAAATTAGAGAAATGACAAAATAGAATGAAAAAAAACGAGAGAGATGACAGAAAGATGAGAGAAAAAGATCTATATGAGAGAGAGATCAGAGGGATAAAGATGAGAGATACAGAGAAGATAAAGAGCAACAAAAGGATTATAACAAGCAATAGGAAGCACACCAATGCCTCACGACTATAATATAAACAGTGATAGGGAGCCTTTGTCCTGAAGGCTTCTTGGAGGGCTAAGTGCCATGAAGGCACTAAGCACTTTTCTTCTGTCTTGCTATTTACTTTGTACTCAGCCCTCATGTTCACAGTCACTGGGCGCCGTTAAAACCCACCTGAAGTTGACCCGCCAGTGACTTTTCTGAGGCTGTAAATTGCACTGGAGCAATGAGCGAGCCCATTTTTCTCCCCTGGAGATGTTGATGCAGGAAGCACCACTGGGTTAGAAGCAAAACCCTCCGTGGACTTACGCCACCGGAGTTCTCCGTTAGGGGCCACGTTACTGTGTACGTCCAGGTGGAAACAAACCACAGCCGACTCTCCAGCAGGTTTTCAGAGGCAGTTTGGAAAGAGACTATCCATCTTTTTCTGGAGAGTAGCTGGTGGATTCGAACCACGTGCCTTTGGGATCACAGCGCAGCTTCTTGCCACTAGGCCACCAGAGCTCCCCTCTCCAATGCATATTAGTTTGTTCTTTTGGCAGTCCATGTTCAGTGCTCTTCTCCAACACCACAGCTCAAAGGCATTGATTCTTCTTTGGTCATCTCTATTATCCAGCTCTCAGATGTATAACAAGTGGTCAGAAAGACCATGGCCTGAATCAGATGCACCTTAGTCCTCAAACTGACATCATTACTCCTCAATAATTTGGAGAGGGCCCTAACTGCAGATTTTCCCAGTGTAACAAGTCTGTCTCTCTCTCTTTCTCCCCCCCCCCCCAATGACTGCTGGGACTAAGGATGTTAACTGTGGATCCAAGTAAGATGAAGTTGTTGACAGTTTCAACCTCTTCTCTATCCCATCGTGATGTTGCCTATAGGTCCAGTAGCGAGAATCTTTGTTTTCCTGACATTGAGATGCAATCCATACCGAAGGCTGCATTCCTTGATCTTCTCCAACAAGTGCTTCAAGTCCTCCTCACTTTCAGCAAGCAAGGCTGTGTTATCTGCATAACGTGGGTTATGGGTTAGTTTCCCTTCAATCCTGATTAGACACCATCAAGTCAAGTTTTGACTCACAAGGACCTCAGTCAAGCAGTAATTATTTTCCTCATTTTAAGGATCAGGAAAGCCAGATTTAAGTAACTTGCCAAAGTCATACAGTAAAGTTGGATTTTGAGCCCAAGCTGTTATCTTTCTCCCAAAGACCTTATTATTGTATCTTGCTTGAGGAATGTGAAGAATTGTTATTATTTTGTCTCTTCCCAACACACCTGATATTGCAATAGTTAAGCGCTTGACTCTTAATCAAAAGGCTGAATATCTGAACCCACCCACCAGGCAATCTGCTCTCTTAAAGGTGATAATCTAGAAAACAGTAAGGGGCAGTATTGCTCTGTCACATGGAAACACTATGAACTCAAGTTGGACTTGACAGCTCCTACCAAGAACAATGGTCTCCTTTTTAACCTGAAGGAATCTCTTGCATGTTAATGTCTCGCTTGCTGGCTCAGCTCTTGGAGGAAGACTCATCAACGGTCTGTGTCATGCAGATGACACAACCTTGCTTGCAGAAAATGCAGGAGACTTGAAGCTCTTACTGGAGAAGATCGAAGACCACAGCCTTCAGTAAGGATTCCATCTCAGCATCAAAAGGACCTAAAGTCATCCTGAGAAAAATGGGATAAATTATGTATACTGCATTGAAAGGGATGAGGGACTGCAACTACAATCCCAGAGGCGCACGGTTCGAATCCACCAGATGCTCTGCCGGGGAAGGAGGGACAATCTCCTCCTGTACCAGTCAGATCTGATTTGA